TACGTATTTGTAGCATCGATAGTTAAGATAGCGCAGCTCACATGCACGTACGGAAGACGAAGGAGAGGATACACCAAAACAATAAAGTAAGCCTGACATGCAGGCAAGCCCCAGTTGCGGGTTGGTCGAACCGAGCCCAGTGTGCTTCTCTGTTGGATGTTACAAATTGGCGCAGTCGTCATGGATGCAGTACCCCCACCTCCGTTTCTGGCGGAACCAGGAGAGCCACAGATTCCTTTCGACGAGTGGTATCAAGTGTTTTTGGCGTATCTGCTGGCGAAGGACGGAGAGAACTTCTCCGATCTGAGGAAGAAGGCCACCTTGCTCAACGCTCTCGGATTGGAGGGCCAACGACAGTTTCACGCATCGAAAAACGCCCCGTTGAGCCATCCCGTGAGCGCGGAGAGTCAGCAGCCCGAATACGACGACACAGTGCAGCGGTTAAGAGACCGATTCTGCAAGAGGAAATCGAAAGTCGTCTGTCGGTGCGAGTTTTTCTCGAGAATACAGCACGAGGGCGAATCGGTGGCAACGTTCGTGACAAATCTCAGAAGGCTGGCTGCTAGGGCCGACTTCCGGCATTATACCGAAAATCAGGCGGTGCTGGACCAGCTCATAGCACGAACATCAAACAGCGAAATCAGAGAGCGGTTGCTGCTGGAAGGTGACAATCTCGGATTGGAGGACGCCGTGCAAATGGCCGTCCGGCTCGAGGCGGCTGATGTGGAGGCGCGGCGCTTGGCGGCGACCGTTCAGATAAGCGCACAGGTGGCCACGGCCTTGCGAGACCCTAATGCTATCAACGCGATAGGAAGGACCCCAAATACGCGTCAAGAGTCCCGCATGTCATCACAGCGCAAACGGAGCCAAAGCCGGGCGCCACCCGCGAGGCCTAAATGTTGGAACTGCGGCGTCGAGGGTCACTTCGCGAAGGAATGTCGGCGTCGTGGAATACGTGCGATCGAAGAAGATACAGAAGCCGGATGCGAGGAGTCGGAGATTCAACAGACAGGTATATCAGCATCAGTGTATTCTGTAGGAGGAGACCATCAGCCTATAATGTGTAGAATTCGAGTGGATGGGTCACACATAGATTTCATGATTGACTCGGGAGCTCAGGTCTCGGTTTTGAATGAATTCACGTACAAAACCTACCTCAGGGAAACACCTCTGAAACAAACGAATCGAAAGATATGGGCGTACAATAGAAAAATCATTGAAACGGTGGGAGTGACAGAGGCTTCGGTCGATTATGAGGGACGTAGCGTGAGAGGACTATTCTTCGTAGCACGGAGCGGGGCTAACGTCCTCGGAGTTGATATAATGCGGAAATCGGGAATGACGATCAACGTGCGAGAGGGGACCTGCCACGTCGCATCGTTGAGGGAACTAGATTTTGAGTCAGAATTTCCGGAGGTCTTTGATGACGGACCGAGCAACGTCAGACATTTCTGCCATAAAGTTAGGGTTCGGCCAGAGGTAACGCCAAAGCAACAGAGATGCCGCCGGCTGCCGTTCGCGATACGAGAAAGAGTGAGAGCGGTCATCGATCGACTAGAACAAGAGGGGGTAATTGAACGTATTCAGGCGTCAGAGTGGATTTCCCCGATCGTGGTTGCCGAGAAGAAAAACGGCGATGTTCGGTTGTGCGTGGACCTTAGGGAGGTAAATAAAGCGGTGGTCCAGGACGCGTTTCCCTTGCCACATATTGAGGATCTCATGCAGCGACTGGCAAAAGGCCGAGTTTTTTCGAAAATCGATTTGAGGTCGGCATATCATCAGATCCCATTGCATGAATCATCGAGAGATCTCACGGCGTTTGTATCACCGTGGGGGCTATTCAGATACACGCGCGTCTGTTTCGGGTTGGCTTCGGCCCCGGCAGCGTTCCAGGCATTCATGGAAGAAACCTTGAAAGACTTGGAGGGAGTTATCTGCTACTTGGACGATGTTTTGGTCGTTGGCGAAACGAGGCAGGTTCACGATGAAAGGGTACGAGGGCTCCTCAGGACCCTTAGCGAAAGGGGTTTGAAGGTGAACAACAAGTGTGTGTTTGGAGTGGAGGAGACGGAGTTCCTGGGCCATGTTGTGAGTTCTAAGGGGGTGAAACCATTGCCGGACAACGTTAAAGCAATAGAGAATGTGCCGGAGCCAAAGAATGTCTCTCAATTGCGCTCCTTCCTGGGCATGGCGGGGTTTTATCTCAAATGTGTCCCCCGCTACGCAGAATTGGTGGAACCGCTCAAAGAATTGCTTCGGAAAGAAGTGAAATTCGACTGGCGGGAGAGACAACGATTAGCGTTCCGTGCCGTCAAGGGAGCAATAGCGGAGGCAGCGCCGCTGCGCGTGTTCGACCCAGCGTTACCACTGGTGCTGACCACCGACGCCTCGGATTATGGCTTGGGGGCGGTGTTGCAGCAGCGGGTCAACGGCAAGCTAGAACCACTGGCGTACGCATCCTGCTCGCTGTCAGAAACTCAACGCAGGTACTCCACTAGTGACAAAGAGGCCTTGGCGTGCGTATGGGCGATAGAGAAATGGCATGTATACCTCTGGGGGAGACGTTTTACGCTAAAGACAGACCACAGGGCGCTGGTTTCGCTCTTCGGAACGAAGGGAGCAGACCGTAGGTCGATACGGTTGGCGCGGTGGGCGGAGAGGCTGGGAGCGTACGCTTTCGACGTTGAGTACAAGCCGGGAGTCGAGAACGTGATTGCGGACGCATTGTCGAGACTACCAGAGGCACAGGAGGGGGCGGTGGAGGTAGATGACGACGGCGAGGTAATCGTAGCACAGATGGCGGGCGTTCTGGCTCCGATTGACGCTGGACGAAGTTCGTCTAGAAACGTCGCGGGACGAGACGTTGGCAGAGGTTGTCCGGATAATCGCAACGAAATTCGGAATTGAGAAACTAACCGGAGACCTGCGCTCTTTCCAGTCTATCCATGAACAATTGAGTGTCGTTGATGGAATTCTCATGAGAGGAGAGAAAGTTGTGCTGCCGACAGGCTTGAGAGAGAGAATAATACAAGCGGCTCACGGGACGAGTCATCAGGGAATGGCTCGAACAAAAAAGGCGGTTCGAGACTGGTATTGGTGGCCACGAATGGACGCGGGGGTGGAACACCTTGTACAGTTATGCGAGATTTGTGGCTCGCATGACAAGTCGGCTAGAACAGAGAGACCGTTGGCACAGGTTGTGCCGCCGCCCACAGGTCCGTGGGAGAAGATCGGTATCGATGTTCGAGGCCCTCATTATAGGTTACCACCCCCGTTTCGCTATGCAGTGGTAGTAGTAGATTACTTCTCGAAATGGCCAGTTGTCCGATTCATGTCAGAGGCGACCTCAGAAAAAATTGTTCTGTTCTTGAGGAATGTCTTCACGTGCGAAGGAACCCCGAAAGAGATAGTGTCGGACAACGGACCTCAATTTGTGAGCCGAACGTTTGACTTGTTCATGAAGCAGCATAATATTGTACACTGTAGAACAGCGGTATATAACCCTCAGGCCAACGGACTCGTCGAGAGATTTAATCGAGTCCTAGGCGACATGTTAAAAACAGCGGAACTCATGTCAATGAATAAGAATAATTTAGATATTGTGATACAAGAAATGTTGGCCGACTACAGGAATACACCTCATCCCACTACCGGCGAGTCACCGTCGGTACTGCTGCACAGCCGGGCAATGAGATCCGGAGTTCAAATCACAGACTTCCATGAACTACGCAGAATTAAGCCGTCAGGAGAGATCAAATCACGCATCGAAGAAAACCAAAGGAGAAGACTCGAAAAGGAAAACGAAGTCGGTCATCGGTCAGGTACACGGGTGCGAGAGGGTGACAAAGTGCGGATAAAGAAACCAGGAATTGTAACGAAGGGTGCGTGGCGATTCTCAGCACCCGTCAGAGTGGACCGTCAGGTGGGGCAGTCCACATTCCGAATGTCAGACGGAAGGACATGGAACGCGAAATCCCTGGCGGCGGTCCCAAAGAGTGATGCGGCAACCGGGAACCCTAGGTATCCGAACCGAGTGCGCAAAGCACCGGAGTTTTTCGGTAGATCTGTGCTGAAGCGTCGGAGTTGAAAGCTTTCGGGGAAGGGAAGTATGTAGCATCGATAGTTAAGATAGCGCAGCTCACATGCACGTACGGAAGACGAAGGAGAGGATACACCAAAAACAATAAAGTAAGCCTGACATGCAGGCAAGCCCCAGTTGCGGGTTGGTCGAACCGAGCCCAGTGTGCTTCTCTGTTGGACGTTACAAATACGACCATTCGGCGTGGCTTGTGGTCTCGATGGATTTGGGGGGGGGGATCGGAAGCTATTCTAGATTATCTCAATACAGTATCATCTTCATATCAAGGTGGCTTACGTTCGTGAAGTAATTCTTAAGAAGTGTCTTCAAGTAATCTCTGCGCGTAACATAAGGATTGTCTATATATATCCGAATCTTCTCTGGGAGTCGGTTGTACAGTCGGGTCAGGTTTGGGAGTGGGCTCCTCCAATTTCTGCATTTTAACATATCTGTCGTACTCAGGAGACCTGCCTCTCTGAGTCATGTCGGATGCAGATGAGTTGGTTTCGGTAGGCGATTTACAAATGTATATAACTGGTAAACTAGGCTGTAGGCGTATAGTCTTCTGAAGTCTAGGATTCCATACTGTACAAACAGAGGGGCCGAGTGGGCGTCCCACGGAGCGTTGGCTATGGCTCTGATAGCTCTCTTCTGCAGCTTTATGATTCCTGCGATGTGATTCTCTGATGTCCCTCCGAAGATGGTGATCATGTATCGTATGTGGGGGTCGATCAGCGCGTAGTACACGGATCGCTTGAGAGAGGGGGAGCATACATATCTCAGTCTCGACAGGACCGCCACTCCTGATTGTATTTTGCTCGAAATTATCTCAAAGTGCGACTTGAAATTTAATTTAGAGTCTATTTGGAGCCCTAAGAATTTGTGTGATGGTACAGACTCCACTTTTTCGCAATGGCAATCGCTCGTGTTGAGATTGTCGCATCCGCTGTGTATTTTTATGGTCGGTATCGGATGTACCTTCCCGAATTCGATGAGTTTCGTTTCAGATGCGTTCGGCTCAAGGCCAGCTGAAGGGAATACTGACAACAATATTGATAGGAATAACATTGTCATGCTTTATTCTCATCACCCACTTCGAACACGCCTCGAACAAAATCTCTCGAGACTCATGCGTATCCTCTGCGTCTATGAGCCGCCTTTAGAGCCTGAGATCGGTGAAGTTATGGGCCTGTACGGGTTATGCCCCGATCGCCCGAATCCCGATCGCACGAGCCGATGCGTAGGTTCGTGTTGCAGTATTCGCATCGGAGACACGACCTGTTCGAACATGCGCTGTTAGTGCGGAACGGCAAACCATCATCGGATACCTAGGCTCACTGCACACCGATACTCAAACTTCGGCAACTAGTTGAGCTAGAAGAGCCGCACTGAGCACCTACATCGCGATGATAAGTCTAGCGACGTCTCGAGCTAAACCACGGAGCGGCTCACAGATGCGAATCGATCCATTCGGAAAAAAACAAGAACGCTACGCCGGAACTCACCGATTACCGACCACCACTTTCGCGGAGCCCGCGTGTTTCGAGCCGTCGATGCGGTGCATTCATCCACGTTATGATAATCGTGATAACGCAGAAGAGAACGGAAACAATGGCGATAGCTTTTGAAGTGAGTTTGAATACGGGATCTCTATCGTACGCCTTGGTGAACACTACCACCGAGAGGGAGAATATCCACCACACAGCCAAAGCCTATTTGGTAACAGGTGTCGATGCCCCAGAGCCTCCTCCAAACAGCGCAGAAGCAATCCGCGATTTCGTTGTCCTTTAACATTTCTTGACAGCGGGCAACGCTTTCTTGGAGAGGCATGATGGAAGAAGTGGCCTTCGGCACTAAGTCTTTCTATGAGGTACACTCGCTGACCACAGAAGTAACACAAGTCCGAAGATTCCTGAAGTGGTGGGGTTTGCGTGCGTTCACGAGCATCCGCGTCGATATTGGGCCCCGCTTCGATGGAAGAAGCGCGCCGTGATTATGAGTGGAAGGTCTTTAAGAAACACAATGAATATAATGGACCAGTCCCGAATCGACGTATCTGTCATTTCCGAACGGACTCAGGATGCTTGGAGGGATCTGGAGGAAGGTATCATAAGTCCCCGAGAACTGATCGGGAGATTGAAGTTCCGGTTTGGAGGGGTTGAACAGGAAGCAGTCGAGACTAGACGTCTCCCGCCGATGTACGCGACAACGAAAGAACGGCTCTTTCGAAAACGGAAGAATGCGTGCTAATAAATACCGTTCCGGAAACGTATGTCATACAATGGAGGAGCCGTTCCTAAAGAACGCTAGGGAGAAGCTCCCATCGGTATAAATATTGAGGGTTTCATTTGTGCGAGAGACGAGTCCGTGAGAGAGACCCTCATTGAGAGATCGGTAAATGGAGACGTTGATGACTGTGATCTATGTCTGGAGCAAGACTCAAGTTCGATCGCCCTCTCAGCTCGTTTCTGGGTCTCCCTATTCTGTAGTCTCTTGTTGCTTTGCGATTCATGGGATCGCGATGGACTCTTTAGGTTCGCAAAGGAATGCGGTGAATTCCGCAGGATCGGGCCCTCTCGCGAAACACCATAAAACGGCGATCTCCGAGTTCTGCGCGATGCTTCCGGGAACGTCGGGCCCCGCAATGGATAATGCATAGCACGGGACTCTCCCCGAGGCCAGGAGATCTCCTTCGAGATGACCCAATCGGATGGTGACAGCTAGACAACATGAACTTGGCTTTCGATTATTGAAATAAAAAAATCATCTTTGATCCCAAGGCCTGTCCACAGTCCACACTTTTTTTTTTGGGAGGGAAAGGGGTGTAAGCTTCAATTTTGCGGCTCAAAATTTCGATGCGCCATCTCAAAGCTTCATTTTTTGTCCATGCCATCGAGATGTTTCCGCAGCCGTACGATGGTGGAATCCTATTTGTTCCTGCTCAAAGGGGACGTATGGTCCATTCTATCAGGGTTCTATTCGACTCTCTATTCGGGTCGATTGATCAATTGAAAGCCTGAAAAAACGAACGAGGAGTTAGCTCAAGGTTCCCGTCTGGTCTCGTCTCGTGATCTCGACTTTCTTCATCGCAGGATGTCAGATTGCATGAGTTGCAGTGCTTTAGCGAAGGCGAGACTGCACTCGCAGACAGGTCTAGTCTTATACAAAGATATCTAATCTGGAGAGAATAAAATTCAGGGGGATCTCAATCATTTTCATTCACAAATCACAAATCAGAACACGTTTCGATCGCACCTTCCACAAACCTCGAATTGAGATGAAGTTCCCGCGTAAAAGCGTCCCGCGGCTTGCTTTTCTCGTAGGAACCATATAGGAACCACCAAACATTCCCTCGTACGTCATCGAAACGTACATCATCGAGGGCCGCCTGATTGTAGTTTCGACTCGACCGGTTCTTAAACGCTCTTTCAGCGGAATAGCTCGTCGAAGCAAGAAAGACGAGTGACGAGTGAAGCGGTTATCACCCTACAGCCCCAGGACTTCTTACAACCTGGATATATCTCTATTGAGCGGGGTATTCGTCATGCAATCGCATCGGACCGGGTATCGTGAAGGGACGTCACATCTCACATGGTACGTACGTTGCCCAAGATGCCCAACCACGATGGATCGCACGAGATCCTCCGAGATCCGGCTCCTGTTAATCGCGATTGGAAGAGTACGCGGCCCCCTCAGACTCAGATCCCCAGATCGTCTCCGCGACAACGCAGGATCCCGCAGGAACAAGTTACGGCGACTTGCGAATTGTTGCGAGACGCACTTTTTTCGAGTTTCTGTCCGTAATCCCTTCTGCGATCCCGCACAATGCACAATATCCAGAGCTCAGAGCACAGAGCA